CATATAATATGGTTTTCAAGGGCTTTGGGTGCCTATAATGTTTATTAATTCATCCATGGGTTGGGGATATATAAATAGACCCACTGTCCCTGGGATTCAGGGGCAACATCTTTTTGGGTGCATTTTCCTTTTCTCCATCCTTCTTTCTCCTTCCCCTTCTTCTATCTTGTCATCCTCCGCTTACCCCGAGTGCAGCAAAACTAGAGGTCGTCCATCCCACAGAAAGGGCTCCTCGTTGACCGTGGGGTGCGACCTGTGGAGACCGGGTAACTGGCAGTTGAAGTGAGATCAGTCTGCGGACTGTCCCTCGCCAACACACCTCTTTTGCCCCACTTTTTCCTCTTAGACGGGAGGGTGGGACGGCCTATGCCACTCAATTGATTGGGAGCTGAAGCCCCTCCAGTTTTTTCTTGGGTCAATCTTGATGGGAGGATCTAGTACACTTTCGTGGAGAGAATAACTCAGGAGTAGCCCTGGCTCAGCTTTGGTCATCCGAGCAGTGTTTCCCCTGTTTCACTCAGTGGTGGGCGGGGAGCCCCGGAGTTGAAAAGCATTCCAACACACATTGAATCCCCAAAAACATTCTGACCCATCCCCAGTCCCCAACGAAACAAACAAATTTCGACTCGTAGAAGCGAGTGTAGCCACCGAGCCGAGCAGACAACCAGGAAAACCGACCTTTACGGCTGCTTGCGCTCTCCCTCCTCCCATGGAGCTCCAGGAGCAGCCGTACTTGACCATCCGCAATTTTGATGCACAGAAGAAGATCACAGATCGAACCTTTTTCATGACAGGAGATGCTTTAACACAGACACTGAGATACATCCCCACCAACGTCCACAAACTGTCTTCTGGTGCACTCCTTGCATATGAAACAGAAATAACTTGACCCCTGTATCTCACGACCTTCCATGGTATTCTTGTGAATCTTGGAGACACAAGAAGTTCAACTGCTTGAAGAGCGTTGTCCGCAGTCATGAGGCGAAAGGCAGCTCTTCAGAAAAAATTGTGGCTATATTGTGAGGGTGTGTCGAAGTCCGCCAGATGACTCTTCGGCGGGGCGAGACTGCCCTTGAAAGGAATACAATTGTTTTGACATTCGATTCCTGCTGCCCACCAGCCACTGTTCGGGCACCATACTTGGTCCTGGACATGCAACCCTAAGTGCAAAACCCTCTGCGCTGCTTCAAGTGCCAGAAGTTTGGCCGTAGCCAGTCGTGATGCCGACACGCAGACGTGTGTACTCGTTGTGGCAAGACCGGGCATCCTGAAAAGGTATGAAAGGCTAGTCCTTTCTTTCTTTCACAATTGCCACGGCCAACACTTGGTTCCAAGAACGAACCATCCAAGAATACAAAGCCCGAAATGGCTGCTCATTTCAGAAGGCTCAAAGGACTGTCTATCTGACAGTTATGACCCCGGTCCCTGGTCGGTTAAACGCAAAGGCAGTTCAGTCCGGCCGGTCTCGTGATCAGTCAGTACTTCTACTGCCAACCTCAAAGAGCCCGTGGTCAACAGGCAAAACTGCAATAAAAAGCTAAGATGGTCTCTCCTACCCCTGTAGTAACCACCTTCGAGGGCCACTCGCCAACTGTTTCAGAGTTCTAGGGGAGGACGAGGTGGACTCTTCCTCCGTCCCCTCTTCTTCTCTCTCCCCACGCCCTACCCCTCTGATGGTGTGTGAGGTGCCCCTTCCCCCTCATCCAGCCCCTCCTCCTTCTTTCCAACTCCCTTCATCTGCCCTACCTACCCGTACCCCTCTACCAGATATCCCCTCCCTTAGGAGGATGACACCTCCGATCCGGAAAGGAAGGAAGTCGTAACTCCCTCCCCAAGTCTCCCGGTTGGGTGCTGCCCAATCAAGGGCGGCAGCCGAGCAAACCCTCTTCTTCCTCCACAAGGAGGAGTCAGAGCTCAGAGAAGACGGGACCTCTGAGCTCCAAGTCTTCATAAAATGGTCTAATGGCGGTCCTGCAGTGGAATGCCAGAGGACTCCGACCTTCCATTCTAGAATTGCAACACATACAGATTACACCGTGCCCACTTGTGGCCTGTGTCCAAGAGACAAAGTTCGCCCCGGCTTCAAACATTGACTTAAAAACTTCTCATCATCATATTCACGCCGAGAACCAGACAGCTTCTGGTTGAACCACCATCTACGATACATCGACAACACCCTCCACAGACAAATACATGTGCATCTTAGGACAACCCTCCAGGCTATAGCTGTATTGGTCACCCTGATAAGACCAATCACGATCTGCTCCATATGTCCCGTCAAATTACCCCCTTAAAATTACCCAGCTTAATGACTCAAACACCAAG